GCTCTATTGATCTGTAAAAAAAAACAACAAAACCACGGGTCTATTTGCTTTTTTTTTTTTTTTAACCCCCTCTTTCTTTCTTTCTCTCTGTTGATAAATGGGCTCCATCCCACGGAGCCCAGAGATGCAGAAGCAGACGGGATGTTTACGCAGATCCCGCAGATAAGGGAGCTCGGGGGGCTCCCGATGCTTTTTTCAGCTCCGTCTGGAAGATCGTCTGTGGGTTCAGACATTCTTAACCCAAACCCCACCGAGCTTAAAGGATTGAAATACCACCGTGCCTGGAATTGCTGAGCTCTGCCATGGGAGAACGAGCTGAGCTGTGGGGCACGCGGGGAAAAGGGACACGGGTGGGTGTCCCCCCTTTTCTCCCCTTTCCCCCTCTTGTTTCTATGGGATGCAGCCTAGATTCCACCTCCCCCCCCACATCACCACCCCTCCACCCCAGTAATGCCAGTGCGAATGGGGCAGGGGGTGAATAGGGGGGAAATGCAGCGGGATCCGCATCAGTGGGGTCGGATCCCACTGGGGTGGGTGTGCAACACTATAGGATGAGTGTGCAACGCCGTAGGAGCGCGTGTGAGCAGCGGCGGCGGCGGGGGGGGGGACACGACGTTCCCCAGCAGCACCAAATACCAACACACGAATATCCCCCTCCGTTGCAGAGCCTCGTTAACGGGTGTTTAACTCCCAAGAAAGGCGTAAAAAACGCACTCAGGTTTATTCTGGACTTTTCTACGGCGGGGTTCGGGCGCGTAAAGTACGCGGTTGTGTCCGTCGTCCAACGGAATGCTTTAGTCTGAGAGGGATTTCATCGCTGGGGAGATTTATCCCGCATTTACAGTCCGGGTTTTTTTTCCCCTCGGTCATACGATGGGTGATAATCAATAAAATTTATATATAAATATATATATCTATATATTTTTCTGCGTTATATACGTGTATATACATTTAAAAATTGTGATAAAGTATAAGCGTAGAAAATATCCGCATCGCTCCCAACGAAAGGAAAAGGAGTGGGGAGGTGAGGAAGGAGAGAGGGAACTTATCAAAGTGCTTAAAAACCAAATAAAAATAATAATTAAAAGAAGAAGAAGAAGAAGGAGCTGCACCCGCACTCCATCCATCACATTTAAATCCGCCAAATCGGAGCCGTTCCATCGGAACGAAAGCTCGGCGATGACATTTATCTCTCCGAAGGGTCTGCAGTTAAACGATCGGGACTGCAGCCGCCTGACTTCGTTTTGGGGAGGGGGGAGGGTGGGGGGGGGAAATGTTTATGTGCTGGAGTCGACACAACAGAGTCGCATCTTGAGATGACATTCAGTTATTTCTGTAATCGCTCCATCATTTCAAGAGGAAAAAGGGAAGGGACCGTTTTATGGGGCGAAGTAATTTGAAAGAAGATTCGCTCTCCGCAAAGTGCCTTATTCAGAAATGATCATAGCTTCGGTATTACCGAAATTAGACTCATCCACCCGCCTGAAGTAAGAAATATCGTCCTATTCCGCGCTTTTTATTAGCCAATCAAATTTCCTTCGGATCTCCATTTGTGATTTGCGAAAGGGGGGGGGGGAGGGGGGCGAGAAATAAAAAATAAATTATCTATATCTATATATGTAATTCCTCGAAAAGCTGAGTTTGAGCGGATTGCTTATTTTGCCTTAATTTATTATTCTAATCACAGCCGCCGCCGCGCGA